GCTGTTTAACTTAGCTGCATCAGCTGTATCTATTATGCGCATTAAAGCTGTTAGTAGTTATATTATAGCTCTAGTGTACTCTCAAAATAATATCAGTCTATCCTTCATTAGTGTTTAAACTGAGTAATGGAGGGAAAGAACTTGGAAACGGATTCTTCAATTTGCAGAGTGAACAGATGGCTTAAGCACAAAAACGAATAAATAAAATTCAAAAAAGTTTCCTATATGTGGACTCCTATAGTCCAGGCTTTCTTCTTAAGAAAGATGAGGTTTCAGGCAGAACATGATCATATATGTTTTGTGATGTGTCCTGAAGATTAGATGGTTATCTTATTCTAGTTGGCAGTGGTTTAATTAGCTCATGCCTCTTCCTCTCTCTTCAGCCACTGCCTGTGAGAGTATTTCTCTTACACCATGGTTCCACCACTAGAAAAAAAATGTATAGCCGTTTAGTAAGTTAGAAAGTTTTCTCATAACTCTGAGAAAGTAAGTCATATTTATGAGATACTAAGTCATAATTATAAGACAGTAAGTCATAATCATGAGATGCTAAGTCATAATTATGACAGTCATTATGACATGCGAAGTCATAATTATGAGTTATTAAGTCATACTGAGATTAAATATCATTATTGTATGATATTCAGTTATAAATATAAGTAATGCATGATTATGAGATGCTAAATCATAATTATACAAAAGTAAAACATAATTATGACATACTATGTCATTATTGTGAAATGCTAAGGCATGATCATGAGATGCTAAATCATAATTAAGAGACTGAATCTCAATATTATAAGATGATTATGAGATTATTATAAGAAGTCAGAAATATGAGATATTAATTCATTATTATGAGATAGTAAGTTATAATTATGTGATAGTAAGTCATAATTATGGAAAACTTTCTCATTATTTTCCAGTGGCAGAAATGGGCTTCCATAGTTTTGAGTCCCAGAGTGCAATATTTTAGACTGTTTAAAATGCCCCTTTTTAGTATTAGTTGACACTGTGTTGTCAGAGACGGTCAGTATTAATTTATAGTTATATTATATATAGTTATATTATATATAGTTATAGTTACATACTCAATTTAATCATTGAGATGTAAACAAAGTCATTCAGAGTGGTTCCTGTGAAACTTTAATTGTATAAATTTCTTTACAGTAGTAGTGTCTATGACACAAATATAGCCATTTTATTTACTATCCAAAATGACTGGTCAACCTATACATGCCTTAAGAGTTTCTATATGTTTTAAATGTTGATACTGGTAATATAGCAGTAAATTAGAAAAAATACACCTTCTTTGGAGACTATTATTCTTTACACCACCCTGCATGTACATCTTCACCATAGATGCTTTTTAAAAATAGTTTTAAGCCAAAACCTTATCGCTAAACAATGTTTTAGGAATGCTTTAAGCATCAAATAATGTAACATTTTCATGTAATATTTATTCCATTATTTGTGGAATTTTTATTGCATTACTTTATTACATGAACATTAAACTCTTCAGATGTCTGGTTCCTATCACCATCACTGCAGACAAATCTGAGTTGGTAAGTTTCTCTAGAAGGGAGCATTTCAAATCAAACCACTTTTTTTAGATCTTAGCCATTGATTCAGGGGAACATTTTGAAAAACATTCATTTTAAGAATGTTGAGGTACATGATGAGATATATACATGTATCTTGTGTTGTAAAGATGAGATAGTCATCCGTTTCTGTTGGTTGTGGTTTTATTGGTATTGTCTGCAAATGTGCTCATTAAATGCGCTACGTGCCTCTCCAGCACACACTACAATCATCATAGTACAATAAGAGTTTTGGCCCAAATAACCTTTTTCAGAATTCTTAAAGTACCATTTTTGAATATTAGATAAAAATCGCTGTGTAACAGGTGTTCAGTCTTGCTTGACAGTTAAACATGCAATTTTTTTGACTTCATGACCAAACAAACCTCTGTGTCTTTGATGCTAATTCGAGCCACATCAAATACTTTGGGTGGTAAGAAATGAAGACAACAAAGTTTTACTGAGAATATTCCAGTTTATTAGAGCAAAACTGCTAGCTTAAGCTTTACATAATACACTTTTGCATTATGCATTTTATTTATTTCATTAACATATTATCATGCAGGCATCAAAGCGGAGTTGTCTGTTCCTTCAGATCTTCTGTGGGACTTCTGGAAAAGCCTGGATGAATTCCAGCAGCGTTTTGGAGCTGTAATATTTTGAGGGGAAAAATAAAAGGGGAGTCATATCTTTACTTGGACAGTTACTCAGTAAATACTTAATAGGCAGTCACTTAGTCTCTTGTAAAACTTGCAAACAGTGAGTAATTTGATGTGTAATGCACTTTTGTCAGAATTTTTTTTTTTGTAACTCACCTGCAAATGCCAATATTAGTGCAGATTGTTGCTGGATTATCTGTAGTTGAAAGCTCCTCAGCCAAAACGTCCAGGTATCTGTTAACGATGCCCTTACATATAGACTTCAGGAAGCCAATACTATCACAGACACCTCTCAGTTGCTCCTTAATCATTTCCTGCAGTAAAGTTTAAATTGTATAAGATTTTTTTTAACATATGAAGTACTTTGTGATTTTAGCTATGGAGTCTGATACTCAACACTCACCACACTTGCATCACTGCTAAGGCTTTTTTTCAGCTTTCCCATGGCCCACTTGCACGCCCAGCATTTACCTGGGAATGCTGCTCCAGGCATAGGCGAGTCCTCAGCCTGATCAATAGCCTGTGCAATAAAAGAGCAGATATAACAATATAACAAGAAAAATGGCCTAATTAAAACTCCTCTGTTTGCATAAGGTGACCAAAAGTGGTAGATTTGAATTCAGTATTGGGACTACAGTGGTTCCTACACTCTCAGAAGAAACGGTACAAAACTATCACTGGGGCAGTGCCCCTCTTGTCACTGGGGTGGTACCGTCAAAGGTACGTCTTCAGTATCTTCAGTTAGGGAACATAACTGTACCATTATCTATTAAAATCATATATTTTTTAAATGTATTGACTCCACATACCCAGTTACATTTACATTGTTTGTATTTTGATGAATGAAAAATGTACCTGAGCAGTACATTTTTCTGACTGTCAGGACAGTTTGATGAGACATGGCATACATTGTACTTAAGAATAAATCAGCTGCAAAAATAGTAAAAGAGTGTACCAAGCTCTCATGGAGCGGCTCCTCATCAGAGTCCACTTTCAGGTATTCCAGGTGCATTGCACAGCCTGGAAAAGCAACACAAACAGGCTACATGTGTCCTCCCAGCTCTTAGTATTTTGCAGTGGGTGTAGTCATTTGAGTTGCACGCTTTGATTATTTTGTATAATAACTTAAAAAGGTTAATGCAGGGGTGTCCAGTCTTATCCGCAGAGGGCCGATGTGGCTGTGGCTGCAGATTCTCATTCTTTAACCAGCAGGTGCACACTTAATGCCACTTAGTTAATTAAGTGCTTTCAGTCTGCAAACAATTGCTCCTGCTTTGTTGGAATGAAAAACCTGCAGCCACACTGACCCACTGCGGATAAGACTGGATACCCCTGGTTCTTCAAGAGTTCTGTATAGAAAGATAAACACTCAAATTTCTTCAGACTAAAGGTGAATGCGTTGTGTATAGTTCCATATAGAGCCTTTTGCAAAGGGCTGTTATGATATATCAAGCTTGCAACAATACAAAGCAAAAGCCTTTTGGACTCATATACAACCCTTTTCAATAAGGTTTTCTATAAAACCTAAATATAGAATATAGAATCTAGAGCACACTCTCCATCAATCTGAAGAACAGTTTCATGATGCAAAGAACCCTTTAATCATGCAAAGGGTTCTTTGAGTGTTCATGGTTCTATATAGAACCTTTTTCTTTACTAAAGAACCCTTGAAGAACCACCTTTTTAGGTGCGTATTGTTATAAAGGTCATAATTGCTGGTCTTACCTGAGCCTATGAGTAAAAAGCCGATGAGGATGTTTCGAAGCATGATGGTCGTCAGAAATGGAAAAACTGTATGAATTCCCAAGATCTCACTGTTCCTTCAGGGTTGACTGAGGTTCTTTTATAGTTCTGTCTTAACTTCACACTTTTTTATTTCACAACCACAAACCACATGTCGTGAGAAACTCACGTTTAAACGTTCATATATGCAGAACTTGCGAGGACAATGGTCAGTATTTTTCAACGCACCACAACTAAACTTGTTACATTACCAACCATTAATATTTAGAGTTAAAAATCTAATTTATACTTATACTATACTATAATTATTTTTACTGATTCATTTGACCAACTGTAAGCACTGCATTATTTGGACTACATACATTCTATGGCCTGGTTTTGTGGACATGGATTAAACATAGTCTAGGACTAAACTGCAACATCAATAATGATTTACATTGAGATGCATTTTTAGTCAAGGATTAAGCTTAATCTGGGTCCAGAAAACATACGATGTAGTTATTTCAGGACTTGCAGACTGTGGCCATTTGGATTTGTTTGCAAAAGTGCTGATTAAACATGCTGCATCATTACTGAATGCAGTACTGCTTGAAGAAATCACTGCCGGTTTAAACAAAGCCAGAAATTTCACTATTGAGTGGCAGAAGAGACTCAATGCCACATGACTCCCCTCCTTCTTTCCTTTCTGTACACACTTAAAAATCATGGTTCTTTAAGAGTTCTTTAGTAAAGAAAATGGTTCTATATAGAACCATGAACATGATTTGCATGATTAAAGGTTTCTTTGCCTCATAAAAGCGTTCTTCAGATTGATGGAGAATGTGCTGTAGATGGTTCTATGTAGCACCAAAAAGGGTTCTATTGTTTATGATGTCTGGCTTGTTTTTGCCCTTTTCATGCAAAGGGTTCTTTGAGTGTTCATGGTTCTATATAGGACCATTTTCTTTACTCTTTCACTTTTTAAGTGTGTATTGTTATAAAGTTTAAAAAAAAAAACAGAAAACTGCAATCACAAAAATGAAATATGCTTCATGCCTCTTTATTTATGTTCAGCTTATATGAACATTTCTTTACTATACATCAGGCTGAGATAAGAGCTTTGTCCCAAGTGCTAGATTTTCAGACTTCTCAAAGAAAGACTACTTAAATATCAAACAGTTGCTCTGTAAGACATTCAGTAAGACAAACTTTAAAGTTGCAGGTTCCTTTAATGAAGAAATGATAAGGAAAACAAAGAACAGTTGACTGCATTATTTTAATTTCACTATTATTACATAATGCAGTTCTCATGATGAAGTTCAGAGCTTCTCTAGGACTTCTGGAAAAGCTTGGATGAGTTTCAGCATGGGTTTCGATCTGTAACATTTGGGGGAAGGAGGAGGTTACCAGTAATTCTTTAGACTTAAGTCTCTTTCATGTGAATGCTGAGTAATGTGATTGATACTCTGTGTCATGCATGCCATCAGTTATCATTTTCATTTTTGTAACTCACTTGCAAGCGCCAATGTTAGCACAGACAGTTGCTGGATCATCAGAAGTAGAGAGCTCCTCAATCAAAACGCCGAGGGATTTTTCAATCATTTTCTTACACAAATTCTTCAGGAGGCCAATAGCATCGCAGACTTTGAGCAATTTCTGTTTGATCTCTTCCTGTGGTAAAGCCATATGAGAACTGCTTAAAGATGCGAAGTACTTTGGGGTTTTAGCTGTGCAGTGTGATCATTAACACTCACCGCCTTTGCGTTGTCACCGAGGTGTTTTTTCACTTTCTTCACGGCCCACTTACATGCCCAGCATTTACCTGGGAGCATTGCCCTAGGCATAGGCAAATCCTCAGCCTGATCAACAGCCTGAGTAATAAGAGAGCAAACATCACAACAAAGAAGGCCTAAATAAAGATCCTCTATTTGCATAAGGTGACCAGAACTGTTGGATATTAATCCAGTATTGAGAACACTGTGGTTCCTAGCACAAATTTCTTCAATTTAGTGTAGCACACATTGTACTGAAGCATAAACCAGTTCAAACAGACAATATTTTGCTAGTTACAATGCTTTACTGAAAATCTGACAATCCTAGTGGCTGTAAAAATACATCAGTAAAAAGCTTACCAAACTCTCATCATCAAGCTGCTCCTCATCAGAATCCACTTTCAGGTATTCCAGGTGCATTGCACAAGCTGTAAAACAGAAAGGGACAACATAATGTCCTTTCAAAATAGACCAAGTATAGGCTGTGTGTGTCTACATAATCATGGGACAATCATATGATAGTAACTTCACATAATAATCATGTAAAATAAAAGGCTTTCTGTAGGTATAAGGTCATAATTGCTTCACTTACCTGTGCCTATGAGTAAAAAGGCGAGGAGGATTTGTCGGAGCATGGTGGTTGTCAGAAATAGGAAACGTGAATTAATTCTTCAAAGCTGATGCTGCTTCAAGGTGTCTGGGGGTCTTTTATAGCTCTGTCTTAACCTCACAAGTTTTTCCATTCCATAACCACAGACCACAGACCATGAGCAGTTCATGGGGTATGGCGTGCATGAAATAGTCAGATTAATGCTCAGAATTTATCAACACACCTTTTTTTAATGGTATATTTAGTGAAAAAAGTCAAATTTCATTTATTATTTTTTAATATTTAACTACAGTCGACCATCACAGTCTGAGCTGCTTCAAAAATTCATTACTAAATTCAATACTAATTCTATCATACTCTTTTATTCTTTATTCTGTTATCATTCCCAAATACATAATATAATCCAACATACATCAATTTTATTATTTTATTCTCACATAAAATCCTTTTTTGCTCTGTTTTGTTTTAAAATTACATTTAGTCATGTGGCTTCTGTTGCACTATTGCAAGCACAGATGTATGGTGTATGAGCACAGCATACCAGTGTGCAGTGGCATACTGTATATGTAGGCCAGGCTATATACAGGAGACAAACTAATGGAAAAAAAAAAATAGATATAGATCCCATAGAGCCAAGTGCAGATGCCTTGGTATAGATTCTACAAGTCTCTGGAACTGCATGGATGGGGGGATGCCATTTCTTCATCAGTTATTTCCTCAAATGGTGTTTTAATGATGGTAGTGGAGAGTGCTGTCTAACACATCAGTCCAAAATCTTCTACGGGTGTTAAACTGAGTAGAGACTTAGGCATTCCTAAATGGATGGGGGCATCACCATCATAGAAGAGACCCTTCCCTCTAAGGGGACAAATGGACCCAAACCAAGCCAGCAAAATGCCCCCACAGCATTAACAGAGCCACCAAACTCCCTCATGTTAGAGTCAAGCACTCATGATGATTCATGATAACTCATCTGACCATATCACTTTTTTCCACACCTCTGTTGACGAGTGTCTATGGCTTTTACACCACTGAACTCTCAAATGTGCATTTCCCTTTGTGACAAGAGATTTTTGCACTGCGACCCTACTATAATATCCCTGTGTAGCTGTGGAAAGGCTGTTCTTGCTAACAGACTGATCACGTACTGCAGTCACCTGAGGAACAGCTGCTCTTGTTTTTTCATTACAAAACGCATTAATCCACAAGTATCACAGTAGTTAATGGATGCTCTCAACCACAATTTCCAAACCTGAACTGATGTCTTTCCCTTAGATCTAAATACAGATGTCACTTTGCTTAATTGCAATTACAATTACAGTTGCTTAACTGTATTATGCAGTACATCTACACATGTTCCTCCACTCATTCATTATTTTCCTTTAATTTGTCACCTGTCTGTACACCAAACAGCCACTTCATTACAACCACCTCCTTTTATCTGCACTTTGTGAGCATTTTAATAGCTCCACTGACCATATAGGAGCACTTTGTACTTTGCTAACCCCCTTTCACCCTGTTCCTCCGTGGTCAGGACACCCACAAAGACCCCCACAGAGCAGGTATTAGTTGTGTGGTGCATCATTCTCAGCACTGCAGTGACACTGACATGGTGGTGGCATGTTAGTGTATGTCGTGTTGGTGCAAGTGGATCAGATTTTTTGTGGATTGTTGGTGCGAGTGGATCCGTTTTTAAACACTGTGTCCACTCACTGTCCACTCTATTGTTCTGCATTTTGGTCCACCTTGTAGATGCAAAGTTTGAGATGATATTTCATCTGTTGCTGCACAGTTTGTGTTGGTCATCTTCTAGTCCTTCATTAGTGTCACAGGACGCTGCCCACAGGACGCTGTTGGCTGGATATTTTTGGTTCTCAGTCCAGCAGTGACACTGAGGTGTTCAAAAACTCCAGCACCACTGCAGTGTGTGATCTACTCGTACCAGCACAACACACACTGACATGCAAACAAGTGCTAGACCTTCAGACTTCTCAAGAGGCTCCTTATTAAATGCCAAATAGTTACTCTGTAACAGACATTCAGTCTTTAAAGTTGCAGGTTCCTTTAGTGTAGAAATGATGAGGAAAACAAAGAACAGTTTATAATCTGTTATAATTTCATGATTATTACATAATGCAGCTGTCATGGTGGAGCTCAGATCTTCTCTAAGATGTATGTGTGTGTGTTGGGGGGGTTGCCAGTAGTTCTTTAGACTTTAGATCTTTCAAGACTTGCAAATACTGAGTGATGTGACTGATACTCTGTCACGCCATCTGTAAATTTTTTTGTGTAACTCACTTGCAATCGCCAGTATTAGCACAGATGGTTGCTGGATCATCAGAAGTAGAACACTCCTCAATCAAATGCTGGTGGAATTTATTAATTTTTTTCTTACACAAACTCTTCAGTAGCCCAAAACCCTCACAGTCTTTGTGCAGTTTCTCCTTAACCACTTCCTGTGGTAAAGCTATATTTGAATTGTTCAAAGATGCAAACACTTTGTGGTTCTAACAATGCAGTGTGATAGTTAACACTCACCGCCCTTGCATTATTGCCAAGGTGTTTGGTCTGTTTTCTTCATGGCCCACTTACACACCCAGCATTTAATTGGTAGTTTTATCCCACTCATAGGCAAATCCTCAGCCTGATCAACAGCCTGAGCAATAATTACAACTCCCAGTGATTTTTTAAAGCAATATAGACTGACCAGTAGTCGATCTGTTTCTCTGCATACTTTGTTACCCTTTCACCCGGTTCTTTAGTGGTCAGGGCCCCTACAGGACCACCACAGATAGCATAGTTTTAGCAAATTTTAAAGCTTATTACTAAGAAAACGACCAGAATACATTGAAACGACATTAAACTAAGATAATACAATGGTTTTCGTGATTTTCTAACGGAGAAAATACTTACATTTGTGGGTTTCTTTGGTCGCTCGAGCAGCCATCTTGCCGGTTTTTCTTTTTTTCTTGTAACACTCTCTTTGGAGTGAGCCTCTGAAAAACCTCCGTTTGGAGGGCCATGTAGATCCACCACAGATCAGGTAGTATTTGGGTAGATCATGCTCAGCACTGCAGTGACATTGAGTGAGTTTACATGCACTTAATAATCAGATCATAATCAGATTTCTGCAGTTATCTAATTATTCAAATGGTCATGTAAACACCATACTCCAGTCTAGAACTTCTAGTCCACCTTGTACATGTAAAGTCAGAGACAATAGCTCATCTGTAGCTGTACAGTGTGTTTATCATCCTCTAGTCCTTCACCAGTGGTCACAGGATGCACCCCACAGGAGGCTTTTGGTTGGTGGATTATTCTCAGTCCAGCAGTGACACTGAGGTGTTTAAAAACTCCAGCAGCACTGCTGTGGGGCTAACAAAGTATACAGAGAAACAGATGGACTAGTCTGTAATTGTAGAAATACAAAGTGCACCTAAGAAGGTGAACTTAATGCAGTGGCCTGTTGTTGTACATTACAAAGTAGCCTATCAGAGAGAGAGAGAGAGAGAGAGAGAGAGAGAGAGAGAGAGAGAGAGAGGGTAAATGAGATAAAATCAATTTAAAACTATTTATTTGAAACTACTTGATTTACTGTGGGTTTCAACACGTATTTTCAGCTGAAAATAAACATCTAAATAATTGATTATTTGTTAAATGATTAATTCAATGAACCAAAACAGGGTAACTGGAGTCAAATCAGTTTATTGAAGAGTAACAGCAGTTTATGGAAGAATAGAGAGGTGGGGAAGGAACAAATGAAAGGAAAAGTTTCATGATAGTTATGGATGAAGGAGAAAAAAGAGCAATGATTGAACTTTCGAAATTTGTTTTACCCTACATTCACACCGGAAGTGACTTTTCACCTATTGTTGCCCAAACAGCTGGTCTCACATTACATTACATATAAACACAATGTTTAATGCAAAAACATTCGCTTTCTAAGCACTTTTTGGTCACCAAATTACCACCGAGTCTCATTTAGCACCAATTCAGCGGCGCCCTCTTCTCCTGCTGAGGCTGAATTTCAAATGACTCCCAGCTCCCTACATAGTGCACTTCGTAGGAATTTAATTACTGGCTCCTGCACCCCAACAGTGCAAAATATAGCTAAGAAATAGTAATTTGGGATTCAGCCACATCCATACTCGAAAAATGATGCACTATTTGGCTGTAGAGGCTAGAATTCCTAAACTTTAATAGCTAGCACACTATTTAGGGAGTACGGAGCCATTTGGGATTCAGCCTGGGTTTGACGATACTTTTGACTGAAACACGAACATTTGAAGCGCGTAATCCGTTCAAGTGATTTTTTTAAAAACACAAGGGCAACAACTGACCAACTCACCAGAAGTCACACTTTTTATACTTTTTTGGGGCAAGCCAAAATTTTTCTCTAAATAGTACGACTTTTTTCTCCAAATAGTACTTTTTTCTCGAAATAGTACGACTTTATTCTTGAAATACACCGTACGACTTTGTTCTCGAAATATTACGACTTTATTCTCGAAGTCTGTTTTTATTTTTATTAACAGTGGCCCTAAAACGCCGTCGTACGCCCGTGATGTTCGTGACTAGCGTTGGAACTATGAGGTCCTCGAATGTTTCTGAAGGATTTTTGAGATTCAATGTGGAAATAAGCGACGAAACTACCCAATGAGCATTGACAGGTTCTCAGCCGACCCAAAAACAGCTGTGGCTTGGCCATAGACTTAACTGCCCGCTCTGGTTATCTCTGTACATACTGGGCTGCCAAGAGAACCAAAGTAACTTGACTTCTAGAGATGTTCAGGAGCGCAGCATACTGTAGGCTATAGGCTAACATGTACCACCGCTATGGTATAAATGTAGCTAGCTAAGAGTTTATGAGCGCAATAAACACATTAAGGTTGTAAAATGCAAACCTTATATTTCGATTTTGTTTGGACTGCTCGTAATGTTGTTGGCTATTGACGCCTTAGGCTGCGTTCAAACCACATACTGCTACACATACGACACTTCTAATGGTGGTCTGCTGTTTTTGACATAATGTAGTATGGTAGTGTGCAGTTTTAAATGCAGCCCTACAGAGCGTCCCTTGATAGCTTTGGCCTTCAACAATTTTTTGTCTAAACTACTGAGTAAGGTCTGACTGGAGTATAGTATAGGGAGAAACTACTGGCCTTCACTGAAATACAGCCAGTGTATTGTACCGAAAGACAGCACCTAAAAACTTGATTTTCACGGATTTATCATCATTACTAACATTACATCTAAAACACAGAAAACAGGCGAGGCTTTACTGTTTGTTTATACCACAGACTAAAGCGGCTCTTTTGCAGTTGTTCCTCTCATGATCCCATTTGATCCTCCGGTCCAGTAAGTGGCGCACCAGCAGCCGCCACCCTGAACACAGCGGTGAAGAAACAGCAGCAAACAAACGACAATGGTGAGCAAGCAATTTTGTCTTCTCTCAATTTAGAGAGTTTAGTCCTAGTGAAGAAATTAATTCAGACAAATAATGCGAGGGCTGGCATTTATCAGTTAATATTATTTTACATAGTGTTACATTTATTGTAACATTCGGAGTGTTTTTGTACTGTTAGGGGCCTAACATTAAATTAGCTAACGCTAGCTTAGCTAGCCCAACCGGCTTTAGAGCAACTCTGTTTCCTCACACAGCAGCTTGATTTTGTAGTTAGTTTATCTCACTACCGTTAACTTTCCAGTTTCTAGCTTAGCTTGGCAAGACAGGTAGTTTAAGTCCGTCTGAAGTTGATGTGTTTACTTTGTATTGTTATGAATGTTTGTAGCGCAACCGCTCGTGTAACTGTCAGGTGTGCTGCGCTGGCTTACTTTTGTAAATTGGGGTGTCATCTGCTGTTGTGTGTTAGCGCTACGTCCTTTAATGAATGTATCTTGAATATCTCCAGGGGTGCTAAAACATATAAAAACATAAAGGTTTTTAGCAACGTTTCCATTGTCGGATGTCGTTTTTTTTTCAGTTAGCTTAGCTACCCCTGAATCCCCTGAAACGTAATTGTTGTTATTCAGTAGTACTGTCATCAGCATATACTTTACATGTACTTTAGGTTAAGAGGTGTAAATCTTTTACCGTTCAGTGTCTGTCTGGAAACATTAACACAAAATGATTGGCAGTCGGTGCCCTGCTATTATATAACAACAATGTTTCTGATTTACAGTGTGGAATATTGCTAAAATCACTACATATTGTTTTCTGTTGAACAGGGTCAAAACCAGAGTGGAGGACCTGGCCCTGGAGGGGGAAAGAAAGATGATAAAGTGAGTGCTTGTATTTAGCTAAATATGCCTGTTGTGTTACTGTGTTTGATTCAAAGACTGTCATTTGGTGTTTGGCGTGAACAAGTAATGACCTGTCATTATTAGGATAAGAAAAAGAAGTATGAGCCTCCAATTCCCACTAGAGTTGGAAAAAAGAAGAGGAAGACAAAGGGGCCTGATGCTGCTAGCAAGCTGCCTTTGGGTACACTAAACCTCTGTTAATCCAGTAAGCTGTGTCACTATAATGCATGCTGGCATTTAATAAGCTATGATATGTTCTTGTTATTCTTGTGCGTAGTCACCCCCCACACACAATGCCGGCTGAAGCTGCTGAAGCAGGAAAGGATCAAAGATTACCTTCTGATGGAAGAGGAGTTCATTAGGAACCAAGAACAGATGAAGCCCCTGGAGGAAAAACAGGAGGTATTGTATTTTACTGCTATATGGGTTAGTCAGTGAAACTGTAGCGGAAATCAAATGCATGCCTATTTTATCTCGTTTTCATGGTATTTTTTAAAATGTCATTTGTTTTACATAAATGTGGGTATGTGAATGTTGTAGATGCAAATTTACCCACTCACCCAAGACTAATCACACTTATTTCCTATAGGAGGAAAGGTCCAAAGTTGATGACCTGAGAGGGACACCTATGTCAGTTGGAACTCTTGAAGAGATCATTGACGACAACCACGCCATAGTGTCCACATCAGTTGGCTCAGAGCACTATGTTAGCATTCTGTCCTTTGTGGATAAAGACCTTCTTGAACCAGGCTGTTCTGTTTTACTGAACCACAAGGTACCAGGATTTTCCACTGAGTGTCACAAAGTCTCTGTATTATAATGTAAGCTTGTGATCAGTGATTTTACAAAACTAGTTGAGCTGCAGAAAAGCTAAAAGAAGTTTAGTCAGCCATTTTATGTAGGCAGTGCACAGGAAACAAACAGTTATAGAGTTATATGAATAATGGCTCTTTATGCAGGTACATGCAGTGATTGGTGTGCTGATGGATGACACGGATCCTCTAGTGACTGTGATGAAAGTGGAAAAGGCCCCTCAGGAGACATACGCTGATATTGGAGGTCTAGACAGCCAGATACAAGAGATTAAGGTAGTAGATATGTTAAATCACTGTATTTTTTTGTGTTTTCCTTTGCTGTAGTTGTATCCTAGGTATGATCCTAATAGTGCATATAATTTTCTTTTAATAGGAATCTGTTGAGCTTCCTCTAACACATCCCGAGTATTATGAGGAAATGGGAATAAAACCTCCTAAAGGAGTAATTTTGTATGGCCCACCAGGCACAGGTCAGTTAAAACACCTGTGAATGCTCAGTGCATTATTATTAAATATTGTAGCAGTCATTGATGTGTTGATGTGGGGTTTGCATCTGTTTAGGAAAGACTCTGCTGGCTAAGGCTGTGGCCAATCAGACATCAGCCACATTCCTGAGGGTCGTGGGCTCAGAGCTGATTCAGAAATACCTGGGCGATGGCCCCAAACTGGTCCGAGAGCTCTTCAGAGTAGCAGAGGAACATGCTCCTTCCATAGTCTTCATTGATGAGATTGATGCTATAGGAACAAAGAGGTTTGTCACATAAATGTCTTAATTCTCCACAGCTGCATTGCCCCCCACAATAGAATGGAACATTATATAAAAGGCTCTTTGTGGAGAAGTAACCCCATTACACAATTCTCAGTAACTGATGTCATTATGCTACTTAAAGTATAGGATTATAGGAATAATACAAGCTAGTGTTTTTTAATGTGTGGGCTAGACCCCCCCACCCGCATTGGGCCATGGAAGTATTGTTAAGGGGCCATCGGCCTAGGTTTTGGTTTTATGAACTTTTTTTAAATCGCAAACATTTTTTACAATATATAGACATTTAACCAAGTATTGTTATATATTATAAATAGTATTGCTGTGATAATTATTTGCGAACATAAAACATAATATTTAAGTCAAGCTTGTTGATGGTGTGGAAAAATGCATTGCCAATGTGATTGACAAAGCTAAATAGTTTCGTTTTTTTTTTTTGTCACGCAAGTCAGCGCATAACGTTTGTTTTTGATGTGTGGAATTTATTGATCATGGACAAATGGAAAAATTTCAGTTATTTTTGGTGGTTATTATGTTACATTATTATACAGTTAAGTGAAATCCGATAGGCCAGATTGTTTATTGTGTTACATTTGTTAGCATTTTAAATGATCAGGTTGGTTAAATCTTTCTTGGGCTGCAGATGATTTTGTTGTTGGTTGCGTGGGCCATGAGTTGCAAAAATTAGTGAACTCCTGATGTAAGTTCATCACTAATTAAGCAACTTTCTAAATCATGAACAGAGTCTATCTTGCTTCTGCAAATATGGCGAATGTTTTCTTTCATGTAAAATGCAGTACTAATGCTTGCTTTATTTTCGTAATGGCTTTTAAACTGTAAATCTTGCTAAGTAGGTTTAGGTTCGAGTCGCATTACGTGCAACAGTTGAATAGGGCTTGGTCTTCAAAATGTTGACTTCATGCTCCACCATTGCAAGGTAGTATGGAAAAAAAATGTAGAGCCTTCTAGGAATTAGTGAATAAATATGTCAGGTGCATTTCAAGTAATTATAAAAAATGACCAGTAACCCACAAGTAGGACCTTACGACAGACAAAGGTTTGAGCAGTATGACTAATCTGCTGTGGAAGTAACAACTTGGGGGTTGTGAGAAAGCTCTGATCGGAAAGACTGAAATAGAAATTTATGTGGTCAGTGTGGTCACAACCCCTGCCCCTCACTTTATATATGCTCAGCGTAACTTATAAAATTTACTTGAAACATTTGCCTGTATACACACACAAAATGCTTATCACTCATGTATATATTGTTGTACCTTTGTACCTTTGCTACAAAGATATGACTCAAACTCTGGTGGAGAGAGGGAGATCCAGAGGACCATGCTTGAACTCCTGAACCAGCTGGATGGATTTGACTCCCGTGGTGACGTGAAGGTCATCATGGCCACCAACAGGATAGAGACCCTCGACCCCGCCCTCATCCGTCCAGGTACGTTACTGAGCTAAATCTGCCACTAAGCTTCCAGTGCATTTAGTTGACTATTGAATGATTGAATATTCAGTCTTTCCCTAATTGAGTTTGTGTTTCAGTTAAATGAAGTATTCACAAAAGACAAACAATGTATGACAAAGTGTGTTTTTGCAGGGAGAATTGATCGCAAGATAGAGTTCCCCCTGCCAGATGAAAAGACCAAGCGCAGAATTTTTCAGATTCACACCAGCAGGATGACTGTGGCAGGCGATGTAACGCTAGATGACCTCATACTGGCTAAAGATGATCTTTCAGGCGCTGACATAAAGGTACATTTCTGAAATGATGAAAACACAAATACAGAAGACTTAAACTTAGAGCCCCAGACCTTATACACTCCAAACAAGTATATGACTCACATAAAGATGCACAATTTTAGGTGTAAACTGCTCTCCTTGTGTAGACACAAGAACGCTGAGTCTTTTCTAAGATAATTCCGTCAGTTTCAGAGCTTTGTTCAGGCAGACAAGCTAAAGCTGTTAATGCAAACATGGGACTTCAGACTTGGGACCATTACTGCCATCATCTGGCATATGTGAAGTACAGCTGCATGATGATGATTCTGGCGAGGAAGCCATTAGTACAGTGTAAAGTATGTAGATGAAGCATGTTGTTGCATAACAAAAAAAAAGTTATGTTTACAGGAGAAGCCAAAACATTCTTTTAAAACAGTTTTTACCATCTGTTTTTCTATTGGTTCATTCATCATGACATGTTAACACAGTGGAAATTATGCTATGTCCAACTAATGTAGATATGACGGTGATGATGTGTAATATTTGGTATAGATTGTAATGAGAGCTGGTGTTGTTTTTCTCAGGCCATTTGTACAGAGGCAGGACTTATGGCCTTGAGGGAGAGGAGGATGAAGGTGACAAATGAGGACTTCAAGAAGTCCAAAGAGAATGTGCTGTACAAGAAACAGGAAGGGACCCCAGAGGGACTGTACCTTTAACTCTGTGATGGTTAAACTTCAACCATTCCCTACTGAAAACACTCTGTATTTTTTATGTTACGTTTTCTTCTGTTTGAGCCAGCTGTTATTTCTTTCTCATGCAAATAAAATTACTGCATTTCAGTAGTGTCTCCTGTATAAACTATGGAGTTCCAACTAATAAGGGTTTCAGGTGGGATGCAACTTTGAACTCAACAGCTGATCAAATAGACACAGGTCATTTCTTTAACCTTTTTCAAATTCTTTATAAAAGGTTTATTCCTGTTGCAGGGACCTTTAACACAAGTGCGCATGCGCACGCAAAAGACACTGATAATAGGAATATGTGATAAGAATTCACATACACTGATTTTAAAAACAAAGTTTTAAAGAAGCTTCACTGTTGGACATTCAACCCATTTAAGCCTTCACTGATTTGGTCTCCACCTCATCAAATAGAGATATACAGTATATCCAAAATGCCAAAAATCTGACACCATTGTAGTCTGACGGCAGATATTAAGTCAATGAGAGAAAAAAAAAAAAAACACAAGGGTATCTTTAAACTATGTAAGGGGCTAGTCTGGAAACAGCCACAAGAGGGGATGAAGACAAAACAAAACCCAACAAAACAAACCCAATCAAGTCTTATCACTGCAAGCCCACAGACGCAACGTTCACTTTGGTTTCAGTCAAGTCTATGAATGTAATAAGCACATCCAGAGGATATCAGGGGAAAAATCAAAACACTGATACAAAAACAGAATTGTGGCCAGACACCAAAGTTCTAAACAGTGTGTAGAAACAATAATTTAGTGTACATGTAGTGTAACTGCTCACATTGACCTCAGCTTTTTTGTGAATGTTCCCTCTGGAACAGCCCTCCCAGCTGTATTAGTGTTTGCAGTGGAATTCCTCATTCAGCCAAAACTTTCATCTCACACAGTGGTAATTATGTGTTCATTTCTAAAGCGCACAATGAATCATACAGGTAAATAAATATTTTTCAGGTAATGGCTATAGACAAATGACTAATCTCAATATATAGTGATGTACAAGTACACAGAAGGAATTTCCAACAATTAAAGTTTAAAAAGTCATATTTTGCAACTGAAGGAAAAAAAAACGTGCTTAAGTGCCCTTAATATATCTTTTTTTAAATATTTAGCTTCTTTCCAATTTAGGTTGAATTACTTATTTTCTTTTGATTATAACTACCAAATATAGAATTTAAAACTGGAATAAAACAAAGGACATACTCTGTAAGGCATGTACCATTCTTAACCTAGATTCCTTTATTTCACTCTGCCCCAAGTCTGTTTTTCAGCAATGAAAACAGACCACTGGTTTGTTGAAGACAGGCTGGTAAGAATGCGTGTGTGTACATGACAGGGGTAAATAATGGTACATTAGCGTACATGTGTGTTCTTCAAGAGTCATTTGTCAAGGTGCACCAGGTCTTTATGTAAAGAGAATTTCACTTCTTGTAAATCCTCTCTGTCTCACTCATCTTCATCCTCCTCTTCTTCCTCTCCATCTGAGAGGGCAGGGCAGGTGCCCAGCTGCCGGTAGCCGTCCAGCCACTTCTCCACCATCTGCGTGACAAGTGGATGGTTGCGCCTCCTAGAGCTTTTCTGTAGCGCCACCAAGATGCCGCCCTCCGTCACACAACAGTCCAACCACTGCCTCAGCAAACGCTCCTGCTGCTCTTCAGTCCCCATCTGACGCACAAACAAAACAACCAATCAAATAAGACGTTAAATGGTATCAAAATTCAATACTTACAATTTTGCTTCAATACTTAAAGTATTACTTTCAAGAATTGAAAAAATGTCATTCAATACCAAATTTCAATACTTAGTCTTATCAGCATCAGTATACCAACAAATATGATTGTTGCAAAATCTAGAATACTGACTGGCTGTATGAATTACACTCCAGCAAGATTTTTATGCCAGCTCTTCTTAAATTCTGTTTAGTTGTTCTCTGATTACTCTGCAGTCCAATGCAACATATGACTTTAAATCAATATTTAAAAGTCTTGAGAAAAGTAGTCAAATTCAAGGTATCAATATTGGTATCAAAACGTTCCAAATGATACCCAGCCCTGGTTATCCACCTTCCAAAACGAATCTAAGGAAGCCTCCTCTCACCTCTTGGGCAGACAGAAAGTGGACGTGTAACAGCTTCCTCTCACTATCCACCAAGGGCAAAAAAGTGACCGTGACGTCATCGTCTGTGTTCAGATTAGCACCTGCACCTCGGTTGTCATAACCATCATTCTCCATGGCAACCAAGGCTGAGAAGTGGCCGCGTGTGTAACCCAGGGCGATGGGGCTCTTCCAGCAAAAACTCTGTTCCCAAAGCAAGGGCAGATACACACCTGTAGAGGAGGAGGAGGAGGGATACGACAGCTTTAGCCTGTTATGCACCTGCCTAGAATCCCAGCATTTCACTTTACTATGCAAAATTACCCCAAATACAATCTTGTAATTGTAATTTCACTTATTGATGGTGAATGAAAAATCAAATTAATAGCCGAGTGTTGTAGATCAGCCAAGACATGCTTGGTGTCCAAAGTCTGCTTGTTAAATTCTGCACTGGAGTTATGATGCACTGGAGTAATGTTGCTAACAAGTATTGGAAGCTTATGTATACCAATTGGCACTGTGCGAACTACACGCCTAAATCACACACTTACCTCAAACTGTGTCGAGCTAAGTTAATCACAGACTGTCTTGTTTATGTGGTTTCTGACACTATGATATGCTGTTATTCATACAAATGGACAACATTTAGGCTTCAAAATGAATGCTACTACCATTTTAGCTTTGTGATGAACAGTAATGCACCAAAGTCAGAAACCATACCTTATTAATTACCTGTCAGAATGGCCATTAAGTTAAATTATTCATTTTTCAGCATCAGGGAAAAAGCAGAAACCATATACTTTGACACTTTACACAAAGGCCTCAACAATTACAACATTTTCTCAGTATTTACTGTCATTTAGTATCATCAGGGATATTGCTCATTGTTCTGTTGTTCAGAATGTTGCACTTTCTGTTTCTCACAATTTACATTACCCCAAAAACATTCAGTGATGTTGAGGTCTGAACTCTGGAGTGGTCAGTCCATTTTTCTAAAACACCAGCAGTTTCTTTGTTTGCTTTGCAAATGTTGCCTTTTTTATCTATTTTCTTTTCTTCAGCTTCTTGACAGCTACACATCCTTTCAGAAGCATAGCGTTGGGTTGTCTTCTCAGAGTAAGGAAGGACAGAAACCCCTGTGAATTTCTTCTGATCTGAAGCAAGAATGGAGTGGAGATTCTGTGCTATTTATCTGATGGTGACAGTTTTTGTGGTCTATCAGGTCTTGTACAGTTGTTAGGATCCCATTTTACAAAATATCTTCCAGTTTCCAGTTTTTTTTTCCACATAATTTCTATTGACTTTAACTTTCCTTAAATAAGTAAATATATCTCCTCATAAGTATCTCCTGAAAAATTAACAGCTTGTACTTAGTGGCTGTTTTGACCATGTAAGGGGAGTCTACTTGGGATTATCTAATAACTTGACACAGTTTGAGGCATGTGTGTGATGATTTAGGCATGCAGCTAACTGTACATTAGCTTCCATTACTTATTAGTTACATTAGCTTCATATCCCCAGTGCAAAACTAATCAAACTTTAGACCAAAGCACATTTTGGCTGACTGACTACATTTGGAGTGAGGGAAAAATTGTGTAAATCTGACTTTTTCTTTAACTTGTTTAACTGCTTCAGCCCATTGCACATGCTCAGGTACAGTGCCTCAAATCTCATTTCCTCAGCTCACCCTGGAAGCGGGTGTATCCCAGCGTCTCCCCACGGAAGCTCTTGTAATATTTCACGCCATACACGATGATGGGTCGGCGGAGGATGTGGGCCAGAACAAACACATGAGTCTGCTCTAAACTCGCCCCCGGCTGCCGGGAAAGGAGGGACAACGGGCAGCAGAAGGAGAAAGAGGGAAATAGAACACAAAGAAAGAGACAAAACGTCAACTCCAGAATAAACACAACTTCATTTGTCTTTAACCCTGTAATGACCAGCAGGTCCAACCTTCTATTTTATTTCCTATACCAGTCAGTTTGCATTGCTTTCCCTGTAGTTACTGAACAATAAGCCTTAGCCTGAGATTTCCACGGTTATATCAGTCAGTTCGGATTGCAAACTGTATGAAAGGAGTAAGAAGAATTCATCTATATAATATATGTATTATATGTTAACACAGCAGTGAGTGTGTGCACCTGACTAGCCAGTGACAGAATAAATGCCCAGTCCTCTTGCCACTGCTCCTCCCTCAGAGAGAAATGCAGGCCAAAACTCTGAGAATACCATGATTCCCACTCCTTCCAGCGACTGTAGAACCTGCAACACACACATGCACATTTAGACAGACAGTTCAAAGGTCATAACAACTTCAGATGCAGTCACTCAGATTTTGAATGAACCAACAAACCATAAAGTTGATATTTAACTAGAAACATGATAACCATCAAAGCCATTCCAGCAGGTAACATATGAGCACATAAGTAAACACACACTTATGAACTGATCAAATAACTAATGTTTATCTACACAAATGAATCTTTGACACTCTTAAGTAAAAGAAACTATTAATGAAATATTTCTTGTTCATCCCTTAATTATTCACTTTTGCATGATGATACAAGATGTTGTAGTCTTATGCTGCAGCATGTTCTGTCATATACTGACTATGACACAGAAACCTGACAGTCTCTCTCTTCATGCCTGTATTCTCTGAAACAGCTGATGTCAATGTGGAAAGTCTTAATGTTTTATATTTAATACACATTTACAGTGTTCTTACTTGGGCCACAGGTCAGGGTAGCTTTTGTTTTCCAAAGTAACCAAGTACATAAACTTTCCAAACTGGTAACAGTGGTTGAGTTTAAAGCCTAGACTTTATAATAAATGTCATTAATTGATTTCTGTGTTCAACAAGACATGGAGCTTTATTTCCACAGTGCAGGAATCTGAGTAATAAGCCAGATACGCTATGTTAAAAAAAAATTGTAAAATTCTTTCGTCCTCGTCATCTGAACTTAATGTCCTTAAATACGTTACACAGCTGATCTG